CATCCTTCTAGTTGCTGTATGTGGGACGTGGCCTCAGCATGGCTGGAGAAGTGGTGTGTCCGTGTGCGCCCGGGATCCGAACACGGGCCGCCAGCAGCGGAGCGCACGCACTTAACCGCTAAGCCACAGGGCCGCCCTACGAGACGGTTTTAATGGAGGTTTTTTCCAAGCTCTTCTCACTACCACTCATATGTTTTTATACAGTCATGATATTGGGGACAAGCCCCCTGCTTCACTCACAATTGCTGCGCCTCCAAGCAACAGACAGGACTTGGGATGGCCTAGACCCAGTGGTCAAAGACAGGCCTGGAGCTTCATGGAGGGTGAACAGTTCAAGGATAAAGCGTTGGTCTACTCTTACTGCTCAGACACCAAAGTTCCTAAAAAGATCCAGGGTCTTCTGGCCGACCCAGAACCCAGGGGACTAGCAGAATGTTGGCATTTCCTATCATCTCTCTTGCTGTGACCTGGCTGGGTCTGCAGACCATCCGATACCTCTAATCCTGGACAAAGTCAAGGAGGACCAGCCTGAGCCCCTGTCCTTTTGGTGGCCCCCCTGTGCTCAGTGAGGGAGGAGTGATGCTTCTGCCTCCCCCCGAGGCTGTGTGTTGAGGCAGCCCCTCCTCCAGCCTTAGCTGCTATTCATCCTTGGGGAGCCAGTCGCCTTAGGAGAGGAGATCTGGGCCACCTTAGCTGCTGGGCACACTCTGTGTGGCCTTGAACAGCCTCCCCAGAGGGGGAAGTGAGCAGGGTTTTGGGGCTCCAGGATATGTGTACATGTGTGCGGGTTCCCCATATCTTGAGATGGGCCTCCTGTCAGCACGGTCCTGGTGAGCCAATAGCTCTGACAGGCATCTGTGTCCATGAGGCCCTGAGCTGGGAGCAACACCTCCATCTCTTGGCCTCATCAGAGTTACCTAAATCCTGGAAAGATGACCTGGCCAGCTGTGACTGATGCTTCCTCCTACATACCCTGTGGAGTTTATCGTGGTCATTGTGTTACATTACTCTTAGGGTTTTTCTTCCTGTCTTCCACAGGCCTTATTTTGAACTCAAGGCAAAGTACTACGTGCAGCTTGAGGTACGTGTGGCCTTTGGCTTTGTAGCTGATGGGATTTTCCTGCATTCAAAGCCCCACTTTTTGTAGTAACAGGCTTTCAAATGAGGCATTTGCTACAGGAGGAGAGTAAAGAGAGAGACACCTTCTTTACGGTGTCTTCAGGCCTCAAAATGGTCTTCAGTGGTCCCTGAAGTTCTCTATTATCTGCCGTTCAGTCCCTTTTTATCCCCTCCAGGGGGTTCTGCTGCAAGCTCAAGTTTGAGAACCATAGCACTGGGGACCAAGTGGTAGAATGTGGGACTTTTGTGTGAGTTTGACACCCATTGTTGCTTCCCTGCTGGGGTTTATTCTGCCAGTGGTAGTTTCTGGATATTAGAGCTTGAGTTTGTCACTGGATGGGAGTTGGGGTGGAGGTGGCTGCTTTTATATCTGGCGCAGGGATAGCTGTGATAACAGTAATCAGGTCCTCGGTCGTGTCTTGGGGAAGTCTTTGGAGCGGAGTGATGGGTAGATAATGTCCTTGAACCTGTCATTCAAGAGCACTGCAAGGTCAGCATGGGCAGCCTTCACTTACCGAGCCTCTCGTTCTCCTGACCAGCAACTGAAGAAGACTGTGGACGACCTGCAGGCCAAGCTGGCCCTGGCGAAAGGCGAGTACAAGACGGCTCTGAAGAACCTGGAGATGATCTCGGACGAGATCCACGAGCGGCGGCGCTCCAGCACCATGGGGCCTCGGGGCCGCGGCGTCGGGGCCGAGGGCAGTGGCGTGTCTGTGGAGGACCTGGCGGGGAGCAAGCCCGAGGCGGACGCCGTGTCTGGTGAGTGAGTCGGGGGCTCGTGTGCAAGCAGGAGATGGCACAGCTTGTGTGCTCCGCTTCCAGGCCCGTCTCCCCATCATGGAAGGGCCTCGGAGAGTTGGGCAGGCCTGGGGGCTATTTCTGGTGGCTTCCCACATTTTGTGGAACCCTGTGTTCATGAAGATGCTACTGACTGTTCTTCAGGGTCAGGATTCTGTGGTCAAATAAGTTGGGGAAATGTTACACTTTCACTCCTGGGATTCAAAGTGCACATTAGAACATTCAAGACTCATAGTTCCTTCCATCTGCGGTGTCGAGTGGTGGTTAGGATTAAATGAAAGAACGCTGGCACCCAGTAAGCACTCTGCAAATGGTGCCTCTCACTGGGGTCTGACCATGGAGAGCTTTTTTTCCAGGGCCACCCCCTAGCAAACTGATACAGAGGTTTGACGTGGCTCCCTCTGTTACAAGAAATCCTTTCCAGCACTGTCTTTGCATACTTCCCTTCTTCTCCTTTTCTGTGGAATAATCCCTGTTGGCTCTTTCCCAAGTTCCTTTCTCAGGTGTTCTTTAATTTAGTCAACAAATGTTTAAGTGCCAGGCCCAAGGTAAAGGAAAAAGAAACTATAATTTGAGCATCAACGATATGTAAGGTACTTTAATATACATCATCTCATAAACTCTATATGGAGAAGAACAGGAAGCTCAGAGAGGTTAAGTAACTTGGCCAAGGCTACACAGTAAGTGGTGGAGATAGGATTTGCATTCAGATCTGAGCCCGTTTTCTGTCCCCAACATCACAGTACTTCTCATTTATGGTAGTCCTCTAGGGGATGCTACAAGGCTGTTTTTAAAGATGAGGGAGGAGGAAAGGAGAGTAGAAGAGGAAAGATCTGATAAGAAGCAGGATTATATGCAGGCTGAGGGGGAAACAGTCAAAGGCTGAAGTGACTTGCAAACGACGAGAGTGGCATGGCTCTGAGCCCTGGTTATGCTGGTCCACACGATGAGTGAGGCACAAGCTACGGAGCACTGTAAAGGAATTTTGTTCTTTCGCGGCAAACAGTGATCTAGGTGGGCCTGAGCATGTCTTTTATATCAGAGGTCACCTGGAAGATGACAAAGGTCCCAACAGCTAGTCCACGCAGCACTGTTTCCTCCTGACAGGCTTTGTTCGGGATGCATTGCAAAGGGCTGGCCCTCTTCCTGCGCACGTGTGGATCTGTTTGGGGACTGGAGTGGAGAAAAGCCCCCGATCTGAGGCTGGATTCACCTTCCACCTTTAGGCAGTGTCTGGTGACACTGACTAGGGCAGGGACTAGACAGTTATTGAAGGGACACTGAATATCCATGGGGTCCAGCTGCGTCCCTTCATGCTGCATTACAGGCTGGTCATGCAGGCTCGGGAGGGTCACGTTCCTTTCATTAGGCGCCCACGGTGGCAGGGATTCTGCAGTCCCCATGCCGTGTCCAGCTGCCTGCCAGTAGCGAACACTTCTGGAGGGGTATAAGGAACTAGGTTGCTCTCTGTCCGACGCTCTGTGACTGTGTTCTCTCTCATCCTAGTGGCCTCTGAGGCCTTTGAAGATGACAACTGCAGCAACTTTGTGTCTGAAGATGACTCGGAAACCCAGTCTCTGTCCAGCTTTAGTTCAGGACCAACGAGCCCGTCCGAGGTGCCTGACCAGTTCCCTGCAGTCGTGAGGCCAGGCAGCCTGGATCTGCCCAGCCCTGTGTCCCTGGCAGAGTTTGGGATGATGTTCCCGGTGTTGGGCCCTCGAAGCGAATGCAGTGGGGCCTCCTCCCCCGAGTGTGAGGTAGAACGAGGTGAGTCGCGGCCCTCTCACCAGTAGCGCCTGTCCCAGATGACTTGCTGCCTTTGCAGCCGGATCTCTGCACCGTTCTAGACCTGTGCCAGGTCTCGGAGCCCCCAGTGCTGCGTTACTGGGTCTCTGTGAACGTGCTGTCAGTGTTGATCGTGGGGATGGTTTCCAAGTGCTGTTCTGGGGCGGTCCTTGCTCTGCTCTGACCAGCTGCTTTACAGGACAGCTTGGGTTCTGTTTCTCCTCACTGCAGTCCTCTTGACTAGCACATGCTAGAGAGTTTCTGTTTCCCAGCTGTTGAATGAGTATGACACATTTCCTCTAAAAATAAGGAAGACAGAAAACACCTTGAGGAGTAAGAGCAGTAAGCAGTTCCATGATGGAGAACCCTCGTGGCATGCACGGTCGGGCAACACTGGGAGATTCTACAGGGCTGAGTTGGCTGATTGGCGGGGCTCAAGGGACTCTTGGAATTGTCAATACTCACTTAATAATCTTTACGTTTCTGTAGGAGACAGGGCAGAAGGGGCAGAGAATAAAACGAGTGACAAAGCCAACAACAATCGGGGTCTCAGCAACAGCAGTGGTGGTGGTGGCAAGAGTCAAGGCAGCAGCTCCCCTGAGGGCCAGGCCTTGGAGAACAGGATGAAGCAGCTCTCCCTCCAGTGCTCAAAGGGAAGAGACGGGATTATTGCTGACATAAAATTGGTGCAGATCGGCTGACCCATCCAAGGCCCTGGCCCAAGTGCACATCAGTATTTATACATGAAACTGTGTGGAGAACATTGTGCCAATAATCATTTAATATATGCCAAATCTTAAGTGTTTAAACTGCACTAATGAAGTTCCAGTGACCCTGAGGGCTGAAGGTCTTTCTTCTGGGAAAGCTCTTGGGCTGGTTTGTTTTTTCAGAGCAGGGGTGGTGTTGCAGGGGTACTGTGGCCAGGTTCACAGCCTTGTGGAACGTTACCTGGAACAGTGTCATGGAAGCAATAACTAGTTCCTAGGAAAGCACCCGAGCCAGGAAAGGGGCTGGGAAGCTGAGCCAAATGGGGTCAACAGCTTGCTTCTCTCTCTTCTCTCCCCCTCAGTTTGGGAAAAGGGAGATATTCTCTCCTTTGTACCCCAGGGGATCTAAATGAAAAACAAAACAAAAACATTCAAGGACAAAACTCAAGTATTAAGAACACACCTTGTTGACCCTGTGAAGGCTTAAAAAAAACCCAAGAACACAATTCATTTTCATCATCTCTGGTGTTCAGAACGAGCTTGTAAAAAAGTGTATATGCTGGGACACCCATTAAAACCATTTTCTATAAAGGTTACCATGAACTGCACTTTTTGGGGTGGGAAAGGTAAATGCCAGTGTGGGGATGGGGGGAAGAGGGTAGCAGGGACATATCATATAAGGGGATTTGCAGCTGTGGGGCAGAGGGTTCTAGAACAAACTGTATCCTACCAGCCAAGGGGACTTAATCTAAGAGAAGTGCATGTGAAGAATGGTTGCCATTGTTATATCTAGACTGACAAGGTGTTCATTTCTCTGTAGGTTGTTAACTTTAAAAATAAATTATTTAAGGGTTATGCTGTGCTAGTATTTCCTAGAGGAAACTGTTCCCTAAAGCTAGGAAGGGGAGTAGGCATGTGTTGGCAAAGGCTGTTAAATACAAGCAATGGTCTGTTATGCTAATAGTGTTAAGACTGATTTTCTTTAATGTTTTCATGGTTACACATATTTAGAGCACTGTATTTTATTTGTCCTTTTTTGTTAGGAAAGCTTACATTTCTAAAAGAAAAGCAACCCTATTTCAAGTTGTCAATTCTGACACAGCTTGTATATTTTAGTCATTTGTAAATCTCTTCATACTGTACTGTTTTCTCCTTTTTTAATGACTGATACAGTATCCTAATTACAAGGTTATTTTGTACATGTCTTAATACTTTGAGTGTAATAAAAATGGCTTAAGAAAATGTCTAACTTTGTGACTTCAAATAAGAAATCCTGATGTGTGAATCTTCTGTTCTAGGCAACCTTCTTGCCATAAGGAAGAGCATGGAATGCAGTGGTCATCTGTTCTTATTTTCAGTTAAGGTCCTGGATCCTAATAATTTAAGCCCTGATTACTAAGGTTTGAATTAGAATTCCACTTTCACTGCACTGGAGCTGAGCAATAGGGCAACACAGTGTCAGGGAAATAAGGACAAGGTGGTTACACTGGAGGAGTGGTTCTCCACCTCAGCTGCACTGCAGTCTCCTAGGAGGCTTAAAATCTGTTCTCTGGTCCTAGCCCGAGATTGATTTGATTTGGGGCACCTGGGCATTGGACTTGTAGAAGTTCCCCAGGTGATTCCAATGTGTAGCCAGTTGAGAATCAGACTGTTTTCTTTCTATATTGGTCCAGTCAAAATTAATCTTTCCCTTATTTTTACATGTGTAGCACCGTGTCTGGAGCTCTAGTATAGAATCAACATAAGAATATCTTAAATTGTTCACATCTAGGTCTCCTCCATTAGATTTTTGAGTACAGAGATTAGGTCTTATTTCAGTTTGCATCCAAGATCTTTAACACAGAAGTTCAAATTATGTTTGTTTATAATAAACATACCTCATATGCTTTAGATTTTTTTCTATAAAGGGCCATAGAAATTAACCCACATAAAATTAATATACTAAAACTGAAAGCACTAAATATCTACAAAAGTGAAATCTCATTAGCATAACAATCTACCACTATTCTGAATGTAAAAGAACAGATTTTGTTGTTGAAGTATGAATTTTCATGCAAATAATGAGCTCTCCTTTCTTTTAGATGGAACATACTAGATGAAGTCCTTTAATAACCAACTTCTCTAAAGTATGCAGTTTCCATAAGTATAAACATTTTATTTCAAGTAATTAAAGGTAGCAGAAATACAAAATAAGTTTTGATAATTATAAAGTAGAGACAAGGAAAAATTCCACCTTATTAGTTTTCAGATCCTTAAAATCTTGAGCATCATCCTGCTCCGATGGATTTTTATGTAAACAAATGGGAATTTACACATGACAGTAGTATCTTGGCAGTTCTTCTGAATGCAACCCCAATTGCCATATATTAAATTCTCAATTGTATTTTCTTCAGTGTTGTCACCATCAGAGCACTGAACTATAGAGCAATTTAAAAAAGACTATATACACTAAATTGTAATGTCTTCAATGTCTCAGATTACTACTTTCATCAACCCGATAAAAAATAACAATTGCAATAGTGAATATACCTCAGTTCTCTTTACATGAGTCAATGGGAAACAGGTATCTAACTTCAACAACCTTCACATTCTTAAGCATGAGCATCTTCATGCTAAGTTAATTAGTATTTCTTAAAGCTTTATTCTTTTATCACATCTGGGCAACAATAAACATTTAAAGTCATAATGCAAAATTAAAATCTGCTATGGTGACATGATTTGGTGATCAGCTGCCCAAGATATAGAGTCACAACACAACCAGGTTTAACTCACATGCTCTGCCAAAAGGACGAACAATCTAACTACTTCAGAGTACTACACCAGCCAACCGTTCCACTCAATGAGCCTACGTCCCTCAGCCCGTCTCAGTTCCCTCTTAGCAAAGGCATCTCACAGTGCTGAGTCTAATCTTGAATTATCTGCATTTTTTATACAATGTGGCCCCTAAATGCAAGCCAACTTCATATATACACAAAACCATGTAAATGGTACTTCTAAGTGATTTAGGGTAATTCGGACAATATACAATTCTCACTAAACACCATGACTTGAGCACCAGATTCCACTGTAATATTTTTAGAGATTTAATTCTGTTCTGATTGTTGTGTTTAGTGTCCTGAAGATTTGTGTCTTCATTTGAAGATTTGATATTTGGTAAATATAAAATCCAGTAATTGCTGAGATTTCTCCATCACTGAAGCTGTGTTGTCTTGATGGGGATAATACTATTAAAGTCTAAGAAAAAAGGTCCTTCTTGTTTAGGCAAAAAAGTACTGGGAATGATATTGTAGATCCCAGCAGGTATATTTTCTAATTCCAGGTAGCAAAACCCACACCTATATTCAGAGAAAATGAGAAAAAGATTTAGAGATGATGCCACAAAAAGTAAAGTATAAATTAGAGAGAATCAAAATGCCAACATTACCTATAGTCACCACTAGATTTTCTCTGAAAGCCGTGGGGACCAGGATCTCCCACCACAGAAACTGTGACAACCTCAAATCCAACACTATATTGCCTAGCAATAAAAAGGAACAGAATTAGTGCTGTTATTAAGTAGTCTCAAATACATAGCTAAAAATAACTAGACCTAAAGTGCAAATGTACTATTAAGTATATGCTTTCTAAAGCTTTAGTAGGAGGAAACAGCACTCTGAAATAAATGCATACTAGTTTAATTATACAAAACACCATTTATATTTTTAAACTGAAGCCATAAAGATTAATATTATATTAAACTTACTTTAGAAGAAACTGTATTTTTATCACAGGCTCCCATAGAATAACGTTAAACATAAATGATAGGGGCCGGGCCGGTGGCATAGCGGTTAAGTGCGCACGTTCCACTGCAGCGGCCCGGGGTTCAGATCCCGGGCGCGCACTGACGCACCACTTGTCAAGCCACGCGGTGGTGGCGTCCCATATAAAGTGGAGGAAGATGGGCATGGATGTTAGCCCAGGGCCAGTCTTCCTCAGCAGAAAGAGGAAGATTGGTGACAGATGTTAGCTCAGGGCTAATCTTCCTCAAAAAAATAAATAAATGATAAAATATTGCCATTGTATTAGGCAGAAAAAGTAGGAGAGAAAGCCCTGAAATAAAATCTAAATTTTATAGAAGTAATTAGCATTTGGTAGATATGGCATTCCAAATCAGTAGGGAAAGGATTATTTATTTAGATGATGATGTGACAAATTTAGAAAAAACTGTTAAATTGTATTTCACACCAAATATAAAAATACATTCCAGATGGATGAAAAATATAGAATGTAAAAAATAAAATCATAAAAGAACTCAAAGAAAATATGGTGAAAATTTGATATTGGGGTGAGTTCCTGCCCACAGCAAAACAAACCAGAAAAGACCGATTTGATTACTTTAAAATGAGAAGCTTTTTCTATGTGAAAAAAAATTTAATGATGATCTGGGAAAAATTCTTGCAAATATGTGAGCAAGTTAATATCCTTACATCCATACCCTCATTCATGCTTACAATTAAGAAAAACATGACAATTCCAACAGGAAAATGGGCAGAAGACATGAATAGGCAATTAAGGAAAAAAAAAATAAATTGTCAAACATTTTTACATGTTCAATCTAGAAATTAAATACAAAAGAGCAATTAGATACCTTATTTCACCTAGCAAACGGTTAAAAGTTTTAAAAATGATTTTGTGGAAAAAGAGCTTACTCATATCAAAAGGACTGTTAGTGTTTTTTGAATTAGTCTGTAAGGCAGGCAAAATTAAGCCTAGTTTTATTTAAAAGTTTAGTACTATTTTTTTATTATCTGTATTTTTTAAACTTTTAAATTGTGAAATATAATACAATGTACATAAAACAAATGTATAGCTTAACAAATAATTTGTAAAGCAAACACACACCTGGGTTACTACCACCAAGATCAACAAAACTCTCTCAGCAGCAGCCTGGCCCACAGAGCTAACTTATGGTAACCACTTTCTCGTGTTGTATATAGTCTGACTACCTAAGTAAGCATCCTCAAATGACAGTTTCCCTTTGCCTGTTCTTGACGTCATATAAGTGGAATCACACAGTATATATATTCTGTTGAGTGTGGCTTCTGTTGCTCTGCATTGTTTTGAAGACTTATCCATCATGTTGCGGGTAGCTGTCCTTTATTTTCATTGTTATGTAGAACTCTTTCATATGACTATTTTATAATCTTAAACGCCACTGATGAACTTTTGGGTTGTTTCAAATTTTTGGCTCTTAGGTTTATTGGCCATTTGGAGTGTCTCTCTTATGACATGCCTGTTCAAATTTTTATTTTTTAAAAACTCCAGGCTTGTTTCTTTTTATGAGCTCTTTGTGTCTTGTTTAAGAAATCTTTCCTTATCCTGAGGTTATTAAGATATCTCCTCTATTAACAATCCACCCAGAATTGATTCTCAGATTTGATGTGCGAGGGCTCTAATTAGCTTTTTGGTACACGGATACTCCACTATTCCAGCACCATTGATTGAACAGACTCCCCTTTCCCCACTCCTCTGCAATGCCATCTTTATCATATATCAAGTGTCCATATATGCATAGGTCTGTTTCAAAACCCTATTCTGTTCCACATTTTTAATATAACATTATTAATTTAAGAAAGTTGTCACAAACCTTGGTCCTCTTAGCTCAATCAATAATGGCCCAGTCTTTTCTATATGAAATTGGTAGATGGGGTTATTTTTGTGAGTCTCTTGGAAATTTCCACATCCTCCAGCACTCTGACCACTCCATTTTCCATTAATCTAATAAAACAAAGTTTTTTTATTTACAAAACTTCCCATTCTCCAATTCTACTTTAAAGACCAAACTCCTTCGCAACTTAAAAAAAAAAAAGCAACTCTCCACTCTGGTTCCACCCTCTCTCTCCAGTCTTTATTCACCACCGACAGTAAATGCAACTCTCCAATTCAGCCAGGTTGCTCTGCTACACACTAAACCGCATCTCCATCTCTCAGCCTTCGATCAAGTTCTTCTCTCTGCCAAGAATTCTCCCTAAAATCTTCCTCTACTCATTGAGCCCACCCTGCAAAGCCAATCTCCAATTCTACTGGAAAGGTTCATCTACATGGCGTTCCCTAATGACCACGGTTTACACTAATCTTTCTCTGAACTTATTTCTTCCCATAGAATCACTTACTGTTGCTCATTGAAGATCTTGTATTCCAACCCAGACTGGAGGCTACTTACATTTCCCTTGTATTCCTGTCCAGTCCCAGAATGTTTTTAT